GTGTTTTGCTGCAGGATCATGCCGGCTGGCCATTCGGCATGAAGGAAGGTGAAGGGCGCTGGACATGGAAGGGGCATCCAGAAGAGGAGGAGCAAGGCCCTAAATGGAGAAACAGAAGCAGTCGCCTACTCCTATTGCTACAAACATCATGATTTTTGTCTACTCCGCTTCAGGTGGATGCAAAGACCTTGTGAGATAAAGTAGTTATATCACAAAGTCTTAATGTTTTATTCTGAAAAACGAATCTTTGTTTTCGTAGAGTGGTTAACAATGGATCTGAGCAAGTGCGAACAGGAATTAAGCCATAAATTTCCTCTGTATCCAGCCCCCTCACACATCAGTTGCACTGGCAAGCTGTGGCATCTCTGTTTGTATTCCCATCCTCTTTGCTTCTTCGACAAAGCCAGTGGGTACCTTTGTTTTCCCCTGTTGTAAAACCCTTTCCTCACGATCTTTTTAATTAACTTTTGATTTACTCATGAAAGCACAGGAGTCTTCCTTGAGCTAAACCACACAGAGGAGCTTCATCCCCTTACAGCTGTGTAGAATCTCAAGGTTAGAGATGCTGAACCCTCCTGGAATTTTTTCCAGGGCTCCAGCCTTTATCATGCTGTCCCCAGCTATATTCTGGCCCTTGCATTTATTGATTGCTTTCCTTCCAAAACAGGTTGACATTAACAAACATACTTTTGATTAATCATGTTTACATTGAGATTGTTTCAAATCAGTGTCTAGTATTGGTTTCCAGTTATGCTTGGAACAAGCCCAATGATTGGAGTTACTATTTTCTCACAGAGGGGCACGGTGATGGTGCTGTTGGTCATTTTGGAACTAAAAATGTGTATGAATTGCTAAAAAAGAGCAATATTATCTATGTACAAAACATTTCTGAATATGTTATTTGCTCTCAAGTTTTTGATGGGCTAAAATAAAACTCCATCGTTTGTCCATATTGACTTATTTTTAATTATTCTCAGCACCAGACTTGGTATCACTTCGTCTTTTTCTGCTACAGTCATCTCACAAGTCCTTTTGAGCTTTCTTTCGTTGCCAAAATGTTCCCCTCAAAATCACATGAGTGTGTCCCCACAGAAAACCAGCCTTAAATGTGTCTGGAAGATCACATGGTGAAAGAATCTTAAGTAAACAAAACCTGCCTTAACAGCCACTGCCAGAATCAGACAGATTTTGTAAATTAACTCAGAAGCTGCCATTCAGCACCTCTGAGCTTTTATACATCCACGTGAAAGCCACTGACATCCCCAAGGGTTTCTTCCAGACTGCTGGTGAAGCCAGGGCCACAGCTGTGAGGAAGGCAAATCAAGGAGCCTTCCAGGATCCCAGCACCTCCCGACACCACGTGTGAGCAGCCAGGTGGTTACAAGTGGTACAAGATGAGGTCATTGCTTGTAAAATGCTTCACAAGCTCAAAACTATTGATTGTTCTTACCGGTTAACAGGTGATGCGCTACAACCCATCAGCAGACACCCCAACCAGCCTCTCTAAGAGGGGGTCTGTTAATTATGTAATGTGTATTTTTAGGATAGTTTCTTCAAAAAATCAAAGTAGACTTAGAAAGAATAGGATCTGTGGAGCAGAAGATAGTGTGCAATTACACGTAAATTCATCACAGACAAAAAACTAAACCCACCACGTTTGCTTGGTACAAGTTTCTGTAAATTCTGTATATAAGCACTGCCCTCTACTGCTCAGGAATTTTCCTTAATGCATATTTAATTATTTCAACATTGTTCTTTTTAATTAAGAGGTTTGTATAAGCTTATCTATAAGAAAGAGATTCTGGATCTTTTTTCTTAGAAGAAATACCCTAATTCATCATTTTTTACAAACATAAAACACCTGTGATCTTAAGTTAACAGGGAGAACAGGTGTTTTGTCAAGCACATGATTTAGAATAAGCTGCATGCATCTTCTCAGGCAGAAAAATGGTAGAGGAAAACATATTTACAACACCTTTCAAAACTAGACTTAAAGTCCTTTATTCTGAACTGTGACCTCAGGAAGGCAGAGGAATAGAAAAATTTCAAATGATGAAGATGTGATTGTGACAAAAGAGTATTTATTCCCATAGGAAAGGCAATACAATCTATTTGTGATGTCTTGAGCGAATTCTGTTGCTATTTATCTGTTGATTTTTTAGCACATTTTCTTAAAAATTCCAAGATGCAAAACACGTGAGAGCAAGTTGAAAAAGACACAGAAATACTGTCATTGTAAAGTTCCAGCAGGATTGCAAGGGCTTGGAGGGCCATCACCCTCTTGATAGGGAACTGCATTGTGCCCATGTATGACGTACTGCAGCATGTTTGACATACATCATTAAAAGACAGTCTTAGAGTATGCTTATATTATCTCTTATTACAGAAATTAAAGAAAAAATCTTGGATGCTGGAGCAAAGGCACTACAGCAAAATAGGGTTGTAACCACTATGTCATAGAAGTCAAAATGTCGTGACTGGTATTATGCTAAGCTTTAACAAGATCACAACATTTGCTAATTTTAATTTTTTTTTTCCAGAGGTCCAGATGGTTACTTTCTGGAGAAAGCATAGCTTTGTATCTTTCCCTGGTGACTCCTACTTCAAAAGATGAAATTTGGACTGTTTAGCCAATACAGAATTTCACCACAAAACCAACCAATTGGGGAAACCGAAGCATTAGAAATAGCCTCTGTGTCAGGTGGAATTACTGAGGCCCTGAAGGGTTCCCATTTCTTTGTGAAGGACCTTTGTGATGCTTAGAAGAAGAAAGAGTAGCCTGGCACTTGTGAGGTTGGGAGAGCTTCAGAGATCATTTTTTTTAGGTGTATTGCAGGTAAGTTGGTTTGGTTTTTGTTACAAGCTTTTGTTGTGCTAATTACAGGGAATTCATGGTACTAGGTGTAATGTTGCTTTGGAGGTGTATTACTATAGGAGTAAGTAGCAGATTGTGGGAGAATATTGGCTTTTAATGGTATTGTAACTCCTTAAAATATCAGTTTGGTTTGGGGAGTCTTGCTGGCCAAGCTCGTAGATCTTTTGAAGAGCATATAAATGTTTTTAAGGCACATGAATTATAATGGATTTCTTCGTGTACAAAATGAATATATTTGTTCTCCTCTGTTGCATCTCTTATTTACAGAAAGCTTCCTAAGTGGAAGTAGGGCAAGATAACTTGGTCACCTTCTAGGTGGGAAACACCTTGTTGGGGGCCAAGATGAGAGTAACACCAGATTTGTGGAGTGGTGCCTGGTGAGCAGGTGTCTCTGCCTCTCTGGGTTCTGAGAGCAAAATGTGCTGTGCAGGCTAAACAGTGGAATGCTCCCAAGTGTGCTTAGCTGGCAAATTCTGCTGTGTGTCAGTGACTAATGGATTTATTTATTTTTTTCCTTTATGGATGGATTTTACATCCTACTAGTGACATAGTTCTTGAATATATCGAATACTTAATTGTATTAGATAATGTACAGTTTCTGAAACAAGTTTAGAGCCTTCCTTTCCTACAACTCTGGCTTCTGTGATTATGGTTATAGAAGAAATTTCTAGTTGCTAATGGACTTCCTTTTCTTGTTGCTTTTTACTGTGAGAGGCATTTGGTTGAGCAAGCTTGCTTTTGCTTTTAAAAGTCTCACCAAGTGTGTAGTACCTGTAAAGGATGATTTAGTTAACTCTGGCTGCAGATCTTGAAGTTAAAATGCCCTGTAAGTTGTGGGTGGTTTTTGTTTGTTTTTTTTTCCCCCCCTCCTCTAAATGTACTGTAGCAATTAACTTGGAGGAATAGTACTTCACAGATACTACTGGTCTGAATGCCTCAACAGTCTCTGGGGAGTGGCTGCTGTACAGGCGGTCTCCACTTGATTGGTTTTACAGTAGTTATCTGTTAACATCATAATGTGTTGTACCACCTTTGGAATACATTTTTTTTGTTATTTTGGGCAGGTGTATTTTTTTTTTTCCCCCCCTAGATCAAGATTTGCTTGAAATATTTTGGGTTTATATGCTTATAATGCTTGGCTCTGATACCAAGTAGCTAGTTAGCACGTCCTTGGGATGAACTGACCTACCAAGTGATGAAGGAATAACACGTGCAGTGACTTCAGAGGAATTCCATTGGAGTGTTTAGTTTAATTCATCCTGATTCTCCCTTTGTGTAACTGTATTTGCCAGGCATGTGGAAAGTGTTAGAAGCAGCATCTGAGTTGCAGTTTAGCTTACTCAAATAGGTTAGGGCTGTTATCTTAAGGAGAATGAGGGCTTGGATCATCCAGCAGTCAGTAACTTTAATTTCACTGCCTCTTGCTCAGAACTAGCACAGGCAGAAAATTACTTATCTTTGATTTAAGGACACCTCCCTATAGAAACCAAATGTAATTGTCATATGCTGTGTCCTGGAGAAGCTCGCTCTCTAAGAGATATTTATATTCACTGTTCAATTAGCGTAATAAGATTATGAAAACCTTACTGATATTCTGTGTAGCATTTGGCTGCAAAATGTTAGCATCGTGAAACACTGGCTGTGGCTCTTCTCTGCTGTGTTTTGGCATGTCTTTTTTAATCTGGTGCTTGTTTTTTGAGGGAGAAGCAGAGTCCTTATTAATGCTAATTTAAAAGATGAGCAAAATGACTGGGGAGTTGTCACACCTATCAGATACTGAAAGCTGAATTGGTTTAGCAAGAGAGGCAGCACAGGTTTTGCCCCCCCTCTCCCCTCTCTATTCCCGCAAGCATCCCTCCCGTAAATTGGCAGAGGGATTCAGAAAGTGCTGGTCTCTTTCCTTCAGACACTAATGAGGACTCAGCAAAAGTTCAACAGCAAAGTACAGAAGCACCGGATCTCTGATTGGGCTGCAATTCCTAAACAAGCTCAGCTTTGTCAAGCCCAGGAGCTTTCTGGAATATGCCTGGGAATGAGGAACAAATAATGCAGGGTGAGTGCTGCCTGGCACCAGGGCCCCAGCTGACTGCTCTGGGTTATCTCATGCTTCTTTCAGAACGAGAACATGGGGGACATGACACCAGCAGAGGAGATCGAGCTTGGGGCTGCTCACTGCCAGCTGTTTGACTCCGGCATGAGGAATGAAGCAAGAAGACTGAGGACTTTTCGGCAATGGCCTAGCACCTCACCTGTATCTGCCCGGGATTTGGTCAAAGCTGGCTTTTTCTTTGTGGGTCCAGGAGATGAAGTACAGTGTTTCTGCTGTGGTGGTGTCCTGATGGACTGGAGACCTGGTGACTGCCCAACAGCAGAGCACCTGAAGTTCTTCCCTTCCTGTAAATTCATTTGTGGTGAAGATGTCGGCAATCAAGAGATGTTTCCTCTTCAGGAAATCTTTGACACTGTCGATGGGCAGTTCCTCAGTCTTTTGCAGGGGATAGACAATGAAGAGACAGCCCTGCCCAACGAACCAGAATACCCAGAGATGGTAACAGAGGAGATGAGACTGACTACATTTCAGAACTGGCCGCAATATAGTGACATGCATCCCGAGCAACTGGCTAGAGCAGGATTCTTTTACACAGGTGGGTACTCCAGGGGAATGTTTAACTCTTGTTCAAGTTAGCATTTGAAGGTTATTGCAATGTTTTATTGCTTGCACAGATACTTCAAAGTGTGTGCAGTGTACTTAGAGACCACATCCTTTCTTCAGCTGTTTCACTTGCTGCTTGTGCAGAATTCAAGTTTACATTAACTCCTGTTTGGTGCTGTGGGGTCCACTAGTAAGTCAATTCCTTCACCAGCAGGTTGAAAAAGTGACCTGTTTTAAACAGGTGTTTTACTGGCAGAGCAGCGTGTGCTTAAAGATCTATTGAGCCTATTTATTACTTGTACTTCCTGGACTTGAGGCATGCACTTGGTATGCCATGTTTTGTGTAAACTCTGGCTTGCACTGAAGCCTTCTCTTTCAAAAAAAAAAAAAAAAAAAAAACAACAAACCCAAATCTGAGTGAAACCTGCACGTAGTCACCCCATTTGGCTGTCACTGTAGCTTGTTGCTGTAAGGACCCTGGACTTGTAATACAGAAATAAAGAAGAGGGGACTGGATAGGTACATTCACATGTGGGAGCTATGGTGCTCGTGTGCATGCTGCCTGCTGGTTTGTGACCCAGTTCTGGAATCACCTCACCTGGCTGCAGCTCTGTGAGTTCAAACTCTCATCAGATTTCCTTCCCTTATACAACCTGTGCAATGTTGGTCAATTGTCATGTGCTCATCTGTTCTGCATGGTAGACTTTTTTGTGCTGAATCTCTCCCTAGACTCTTGTCTGGGAATAGCAGAACATACAATGTAGTAGATGTCGAATAATCTCCTGATGTCTTTTTCAGGCCAAGCTGACGTAGTGAGGTGTTTTTACTGTGATGGAGGTGTGAGGAACTGGTCATTCGGAGATGATCCTTGGAGGGAACATGCCAAATGGTATCCAGGGTAAGTCAGTCTTCACAGAATCACAGAATGTTGGGGGTTGGAAGGGACCTCAAAAGATCATCTAGTCCAGCCCCTCTGCCAGAGCAGGATCACCTACAGTAGATCACACAGGAACACATCCAGGCAGGTTTTGAATGTCTCCAAAGAAGGAGACTCCACAACCTCCCTGGGCAGCCTGTTTCAGTGCTCTGTCACCCTAACAGTGAAAAAGTTTTTTTTTTCCTAATATTTTTGTGGAACCTCCTATGTTCCAGCTTGTACCCATTGCCCCTTGTCCTGTCATTGGACAACACTGAAAATACAAGTCCCTTGTAGCAAGATGGAAAGATATGCTGTGCATTCCGTGTTGTGATTTCTTTTTTCTTAAAATAGAAGTACCCCCAGTTGAGTAACAGGTGTACTGGTAATAAGTTCTGCTTTTGGACTTAGCTTTAGGTTTTTCTACTTAGCTAGAGCGGGTGAAAAGCTAGTTGGGTATGTTCAATCACGTTTAACTGCACAGAAGGTGATAGTGTCATTTTTAATGAATATAGCAGCTTCCTTATAACCAAATAGCATCCTTTGCTTCTGAAGGTCAAACTACTACTAGTACTTTCACTTGAGATATCCTGTACTAATGTATTTAAATCTTTCTGTTTATAGCTGTGACTTTTTATTGCGGACAAAGGGAAGTGAATTTGTCAGCAGTGTTCAGGAGTCTTTCTCTAGCACCCTGCTATCTCCAGTGAGTCCTGAATATTTTGTGTATAATGCATGGGGGGTTGATAATAGGGGGAATTTTGAACATGTACTTGTCTTTTGTGACTGTCTTGTGACATTTTCAGAGAGATTCCTGGGATCAGACTGAACAAAATTCCTCTGCTTCCCCAGGTCAGTGCTGTAATTACATAGTGTTTTGTCTTCTGTTGAAGCCTTCTGCCCCACCCCAGCTGTGCATTCTGTAGATGTGCTGTTTATGAGTTGTTTTGATTTTTAGAAGCTGCTTATGTTTGAAAAATCGTCTTTAGCACAAGAAGCAAAATTGCCTGCTCTTGTGAGACTCTTGGTCTAAGACTAGAGATATTTAGCTAGTCTGGCTAATTATGTGATTCTTGGGTACTTGTCTAACCTTCCTTTGACTTGTCCTGGCCCTTGGTGTTATCTGTCTATAGCCTGCTTCACACTACAGCATTTTAAACATACTTGATAGGAGACCAGAGAACAGCTAGAGGGTCTAGTTGTCCGTGAAAGTGTTTGTCCTGGGGATCTGTTCCCATTCATCAGTTGCTCCTTGAAATTTAAGTAGGTGAAATTTGGCTTCCATAACTGTGGAAAACTGATTTTTATTTTTTTTTCCCACTCTCTTGAAGAGTCTATCCAATTGGATGAGCTTAAAAAACTGTTAAGCCTTTGAATGGGCTACAGCTGAATTTCCCACTTCTGTCTTTACTGATAAATGGTTGAGCTAGATTGTGAGGTAGGAAAAACTTCAGTTGGGATGTTCCACTTGATCTTCATGAAAGCAATTTTGAGACTTCTGTTCTGGGATGTGGAAAAAAAAGATAAGGATTCTGGACTAGGACCAAACATGGGAGACTTAGTTCACTGATACAGTAGAACAAACCATCTGAAATCAGTCTCTTGGCTTTTATGAAATTGCTTTTCATTACTTTCTTGTGAATTGCAATTGGATGTAAAAAAAAAAATAATCTGGATCTTGATCTAGCTATATAGATAGCTTGAGGAATGTTCTAGAATACATTAATCCCATTTTATATGTAACAGCGTTGGGGGGTGGCATACTTGTGGCCCAAAGTTCTGCCTTTTTGGTAAAGTACCCGCTCACTGCTTTACAGATCCTCTGAGGAATTGGGAATTGCAGGCTCTTCCTTCTCGGGATCAGTTTACCATAGTGCAGAATGTCCTGCAGATGGGCTTTGACCCTGCCTGGGTGGCTAGCCTGGTAGAGGATAAATTTGTCCTGACTGGGACTTTCTACCTTTCTGAGTCTGAACTGATTTCTGATCTGCTTCAGCCAGACTGGGAGGAAAGCAGCAGTGCAGAGGAAAGCAGAGGTACGCCCGACTTGCGCACTCACGTTCCTGGTGGAGGTTTAACCTCATGTTCACTTCCTCTTGAGCACTGTTGTGTCTTGCAGGTCTGCCTTCTCTCTTCCTAGGCTGGGATTGAGAATAGTCACGTACCCAAGCCTTCCTTTCTTTAAGAGGCTGGAAAATGAGATTCTACTTTAAAGAAATGTGAAGGAGCTGTGATTACTGGGTATCAGGAACTGTATCTACCTCTGACAGGCAGTGGTATAGATGTACTTGAGATTTTGTGCTGTCTTTAGACCCGCAGTAGCAGACAGCTGCGCAGTGTGGAGGCTTGTGCACAAATTCACGTCTGATGCAGAGGCAGTTGTCTGCCGCAAGGCTTCTAGGCTGGATGAGTACTCCAAGCCTGTTTAACGTTGAATCAATGACTTGACAAGAAATAGCCATACTTGTTTGTTTGGATAATGTATATTCTACTTAACTATGTCTGTTTTGTGAAGTCTGTTTGCCAAGCCACATTTATTTGAAGGTGCAATTCCGCTTTCTCTGGTAGCAAGCCGACTTTCCAAAGCTCCTGTCTCTGTATCACAGTCGGCCATCCCCTTTAGCTAGGGGATGGGAGAAAGTTTTCTACAACGCCAAAAGTGTGATTAAATAATGGCACAGGAGCAGAAATGAGCAGCTGATGGCTTCTGCTGTCTGATAGAGAAACCAGCTTTGCTAAGGGGACAACGTGATGTGGATGTGCCTTTGCAGGGAGAGTAATAGACGTAGTGACTAAAGCACCACAGGGAACATCAGCTTCGCCAGGCTGAGTGTGTGAAGTTTAACAGTGGAGTAAAGAGGTGTTTGACTACTGAAATCAATGATATTTTGTCTTTTTAAACAGTACAGTCTGAAGAGAGAGGGAATGGGTAGCATTTAATGTCATTATCTTTCCCGGTTATGCAGATGCTGCTCAGAGAGGGACTGGAACATCAAGTTTGAGAGAAGAAACACAACCTGTGCAACAAAAGGAATCAGGTGCACTGGGCTGATCGTGGTGGTGAAATCGAACCTAGGCATAATTGGAATGATTTTTGTAATAATGGTATCAGTGGTCATTTTTACTCATTTTATTTTTTAATCCTGAATGGGAATGTGTGCTCGCTTGAATGTAATTGAACATAGAGGCCCTTATTCAGAAATCAGAGTTCCAGTGTGAAAAAGACTGTTATGCTGATCTCTGTCCCTGCTCAGTCCAGCATGTCTAGATATGCTGCATCTTGTGTAGATAAGCCAGAATCTACACTAGCTGTAGTTTTTCACCTTAAACAAAACTTGCCCAAGAGGTTCTTTTGCCAAAAATCTCCAAACAAAATGACAGACAAGTTGCAGTTTGATTTCCTAAGATGACTGGACTGCCACTCTGGAGCTGTTACAATATTAACAGTTTGGGTTTTTGTTTTTTCCCCTCTTTTGGTAAAGATGAATCTCGGATGAGCACAGAAGAACAGCTTCGGCGCCTGCAAGAGGAAAGGATGTGCAAAGTGTGCATGGACAGAGATGTGTCTGTTGTATTTGTTCCTTGTGGCCACCTGGTAGCTTGTGGAGAATGTGCCCTCAATTTGAGATTGTGTCCTATCTGCAGAGCGGTCATCCGGGGAAGTGTGAGGACTTTCATGTCCTGAACCATGATGATGTGCCTAAAGGGAAGGATGAGTCTACACAACTCACTCGTAACACAAAAGAAGCAGAAAATAAGTAAATAGTTTGACTGATGCTGGAGCAATCTTATTGGCAGGGTAGCTTGGCGTTAAGTGTAAAATCTTACTAAATGTGCCTACTATGCACAGTGTTGCTAGTAAAACTTGCTGGTTTGCTGTACTCTTGCAGATCTTGCTGTAGGACTGCTCCAGAAAAAGCTCTGCTAGTTTCTTTTATCCTCTAAAAAGAGGGTTTTCTTGACAGATATTCTCTTTCTCCAAGTTCTTGCATTCTTAATTTAATCCCTGCACTGTATTGAAATCAAGGGTTGGTTTTAGCAGACTGTCTCTGGTTCTTTTTCTCTCATTTAGCAGTTGTTTAGAGATTATTCTGCTAGAGTTGATGGCTTCCTTCAGTAAGTCTGAGTCAAAATGGGAGTATTTTTATATGAAATGCATTCCGTTGAGATGAAAATACTCAGCAGCAATGTATTGTGGGGGAAGGAGAATCTTGCCTTTTCTTCTGAGCCCTTTGCTGTCTTCCTCCTCTCCCTTGTTGAATTTTCAACAACTGACAGAACGTTTAAGTAATAATCAAATCAGCATATTTATATGTGAAGAACCTGGCCTGTGGTAGACTCTCCAACCTCTTTACTCTCAGCTGATTTCCCCAAACAGAATGTGAAAAGTTCTGTGGTCAGGGTCACTAGATGATCTTGTGGAAGGTTCTAACAGAAATTCTTCCCTGGCTGTTGGGTATTATCTTACTAGGAGATAACTCCAGAAACCTACCTTTTTAGGACTTCTGTTTGCTGACTAAACTGGTGATTCTTACTTTAAAAGGAACACTTTATCATATAGCTGGAAGGAGAAAGCTTTGTCAAAACTGTAGCTTGTTAACTTCAAGGGGAAAGAAAAATGAGTTTTTTAAAAATTAACTGTTCTTTTTCACTGAATAAAGTTTTTCTCTTGTTTATCTTGCAGATGTATGAGTATCTGATTCTAGTAAAATGCCCTTCTAGGGGCAGGTGTTGGTGTCCCAAGATGTTAGAGTAGCATCAGATTGTTTTTCAGTGCTATGTGGGCATGACTGAGAGAAGCAACTGCACTTTGTTTGCTTCCTCTGGAATTCACAAGATAGCACATGGGTCCTGCAGTCTCTCAAACTGCAAAAGAAAGAGGTAAGGATGCAGGAGGATAAGGACTTGATGCTTGAAGCTGTGTAAGTGGGGAATAATTCTGTATCTGAACTCAGTGAAGGCTTTGGTACGTGACTCTTAAACAATCTGCGGAGACTGGAGCAGTGGTGTTGGTTTGTTTCTGTTTAGTTCCAGCACTGGGTACCGAGTGGGGTTATAGTCTTGTCTCTGAGTAACTTCTAGGTGTCAGTTATTCCTGTGCTGTGTGAGAGGGAGATCCCTTCATTCTTGCCTTCAGGAGAAGGTAAAATTAATGCAGCTCTTGGCAAAGATGAGAGAAATTACTAGTTGAGCAGTTTAAACTCTCCAACTCTTGGAGGAATTGATGGGTCTTCATCATACAGCAGCTTTCATAGGGAACAGAATTGCACCCGCATGTCAAATTAGGTGTTGTGTCCAGGCTCAAACTATCACTGGCTTTATTTTGCTTTGTAAGTAATGGCAAAAGCTTACAGTTGTAGATGTGCTAATCTGAGAAGGGAAAACAAAAGCAGTGTGGTGTTGGAATGAGTTGTTTCCTCCTAAACTCTAGCTCAGTGTGCCTGGAACCTAGCCTGAGCAGCAACAGGACGAGGCTGTAAATCCACCAGCTACTTATGGGGCTTCTTTTATTTAGCGCTTTGAAAAATGTCTTTTGCACATCTGGAGATGTGGAGCCGTTTTTCCTATGGGAAGATATCCCTTCAGAAACTGGTTCAGGTGGATTTTTTGATGAGCAGTATCTCCAGTGGTGCCTACCCCCAATAGAGGGCACTCCGAACCTGGAGATCAGGGAACCCATGGGAGCAAAACGTTTAGCCGCTCCTGACCTCTTACAGCAGGCTGGGGAGTGGGGTTTCCAGCTCCGGGTTGTCCCCACCCCCACAGAAACAAGATCATTTCATGATTTTGCAGTTGCTGGAGCATGTCTAGCACAAGCAGACCAGGAGGAAACGTTGTCAGAGTCTGAAGGATTAAGGGCTCTGCTAATAAAAACCAGAGGAGGTAATGAAGTGTGGGATATGATCCTTGGTATCTTATCTTACTTCCTTCTTGGGTTGATTTTTCTCCTTGGTAGCTTATCTTACTTCCTTCTTGGGTTGATTTTTCTTTAAACAAAAATCTTTGTGGCAGTCATTGATACTAATTGCTATAGTCTTACCTGAACGTTTATTTTACTTCTATTAAAATATCCTTAATTACCTGTGTTCATCATAACACAGAATGGTAGTTACGAAGCTACTTGGTCATCACACTTGTATTTATTTAATTGATCTTTACCAGTGTGTATTAAAACGAAAAGGCATGCTACTAAGTGCATAGTTTGATGCTTAGTCTCGTTAGAGTACTTGGCAAGTGGTTTTGATCAGTTTTATTAGTAAACATGGCATCAAGGCTTGGTCAGTTCAAGAGGTGTAGTGTTAAAAGCAAAATAAATCAAAGAGTTCCTCCTGACTCCATAACACCATCTAGAAGAAATAGTTCTTGAAACTACTAGTGAAATGTTTCAGCTGTTTAAAGGTAAACTGTGCTTTTCCCACCAATTCTGCTGAATTTTGGTTGCTCTCAAACAAGGCCCATAAGGAATGCAAAAAAAGGAAAACATTTCTCTTGGAAGAAAACATATTAAAACTAAAATATATAAAGCCCAGTGTTTTCTAATGAGTAAAGGGAAGATTTCAAACCCCAAATACATTAACTCTTTCATGGAACAGTCTCATTGACTAGAGGATACATATTCCTCCATTTGTTTTCTGCCTCTCCAGGGGACATCAGATGGGCAAGTAGGAATGACTGTAATACAGAAACAAACTGAATTAAAGAAGAGATGGAGAAAGTACTAAGTAACACACTAATCAGTTGTGTTCCATTATAATATTTTTTTTTAGCCTGATAGTGGCACAGTACTGACTAATAAAGGAGGCAGGGTGTTTTGTCAGGCAGAGCTGTTTTAAAGTGGGTTGAGCTTTTTCTTCCTCAAATAATTGAACAAATATCAAACCAGCAACTGTTTTTTTCTGTTTAGTCAGATGCTGTGGCTTCTACTGGAAAAAAAAAGAAGAAATACCTACAGAGGACATCTTTACTTGCAGCTGCACCCACTCAGAACTCAAGATGTTAGGCTGCAGTGGGTATTTGGAATGGAAGTTGCACAGAAACAAAAAATGTTCTCTTGTTGCTCATACTTTTGAGTTTATAGAAGATTTTGCTTCCTGGGCCCTTTGAAATGGGACAAAGAAAGGTGTATCAGTTTTTGACTTAGCACTTCATGTTTTTCTTTTAATTCTTCTCTTGCACTCCACCTCCCTAGCGTGGCTTCTGGATTGACCCTTCTGAAAAGCGTTGCTCAGAAATGCCAAGTAATCTCAAACAGATTAAGCAAAGCAGTAAGGAATTATGACAACACTTGGGACAGACCAGCTGAAGAACACCACGGATGGCTGACAAGTGCTTTTCCTCTACTTGACACTTAACATGCTGGGAGACATAGCTAACAAAACTGACATTGATCTTTTCTTTTGTTTTGTTTTTAATTGCTGCAGTTCATTAATGCAACTTAATTACACTTACATTCCTCCTTTCCTTCAGCCCATTCCCTCCCCTTAGCATTATCCTGTCACCAAAAAAACCCCCATTGTTTCTCATCAGGACATTGCCAGGCTTGCGGCTGCTTGGTGAAGAAGATAAGTTACAAAACCATCTCTGATCCATGAAGAACCAAGCCTATCCCAGTGTCCTGCAGCAGGTTTCAGCTGTGTGCATGGCTACACCAGTGTTAATTTAATGTAGGTGGGCAAACCCAGAGTTAAGCTCTGTCTGCTCTGAGAATGGCTTGGCCTGTTGAGACAGGGCTAGGCTAAGCTCCATGCTGAGTAAAGATCTGGTGCTTGGACTAGTTTTCAGCTGTTTGGTATTATAGTGGCTAGGTCACCAAAGCACTGAAATCCAGGACAAATGCTAAGGAGCTGTGTCTAAATAATAGAGAATGAGGAAGGGAGTCCTGGATGGTGGGAGGAGGAAAGAGCTCTCATCTATAACTTAAAAAAAAAAAAAAGCCTAAATAACTCAAATGTAAATAGCCCCCCACCTAGTTCTCTACGGGCAGGGAGGAGATGAAGTGGTGTTAGGGGATTTAGGCCCTTTTCAGAACAAGGGGAAGGAGCAGAAGCTAACTACAGAACATATGAAATGTCCCAGCATGTTACACAGTACTTCCTTCTTTATGGATCCATGGCGCAAGGTAGCAGCTCCAGCTTCAGCCGTATCTCTTGAGAGAGGCTCCTGCTGAGCTCATTCTGTCTGAGGTCTTCAGGCCCATGCCAGGCCAGTACCGCCAGACTGGAGTCGGAATGGTTAGTCAGGGCACTTGGGGAACTGAAAACCAGCCCCGTGGCCATTCTTCAATGTACATTCATTGCATTTGAAAAGAAGACAAGGAACAAAAAGTGGAATGGAGTTCACCATCCTGCATTTCCTCTGCCAAAGATCCAGGCCACAGGGGGTTGGTTCCTGCAGCACCTTTGATGGTGGAGTGTGAGGTTTATCCATCCTCTGGCTCCTCTTTACTTACGCAGGCCTGTAGTGGGGAGGAAAAGGTGAAGGCAGGGTGTCAGTGTAGAGCAAGTGCTCAGTTGCTTACTGAAGGTAACAGAAATAGCGTGGTAACAACGAGGACATTTTTTTTTCCCCCCTGTTCTGGGTTTTTTAATATGATTGACTACAGATAAGGAATAGGGTTGAGAGCTCGAAGTAATGTGGTTAAGCAGTCTTCACATCTGGAGAGACTGCTATGCAGAAACCAGATCTTAATATGCTGCAGTTAGACTAAGGAATAGATATGAGCCAAAGTGTTAGAGCCGTATATCATCAGCATTTGGAGCTGTGTAAAATTTGGTTAGGAACTTTAAAAGCTACGGGTCATCTCTAGACTAAAATAGCTTCTTAACATTGTGGTGATGTGCTTCTTTTGTGTAGATGCAGCAGTAAAAGCAGATCTACTTGTGCAGCCAGCGGTAAAGATGAGTGAATGTTTTCAGCCAAAACATCACCTCTAAAACATGCAGCCTCAGGTTGATCAAAACAGTTTGCAAATTCATGTTGACATTCAGCAAATTGTTTGTTTGGGGAAAAAGTCTACCTAGAAAGAAAAGCAGAAGCATTTTGTTTTGTATTTGCTCTCCTCAAAAAGAAGTGGGATTTTTTTTTTCCTCTTCAAGTAAAAGTTTCCTTTGTAAAGTCTTATCATCAGAAAAGGTTTGGTGGGGGGAAAACAATCCTAAATGAGTTCCCCTGCCTCCCTCAGTGTTTCATTCTGGTTTTTGACTTTTTAAATTGAAGAATATTATTTATGTACTTGTACCTGTCAGTTGATCTGCTGAAGAACCTACTTTTAACCTAGAAGTGGATGACTGTTATATGGTCTCTAGTCCTTTAATGTTGCATGTTTGCAGCTGTTTCATACCCACAGCTAGCAGATAGATTGCCCCACAAAAGAACTGATTAGGGAGTATTAAAGTGAGCAATCACCAACTGGAGCCTTAGATCATTCAATTAACCAATACCTCCTGTTGTTACCCTGTCAATACCAAAGTCTACATCTGATAAAAGTCACGCCCTGTGTTACCATATGGTCCTCTCCCCAGTAGATCTGAAGAAAGCCAAATCGGTGAAATCTTGCTACACAACGAAAATCCAATTAAAGCTCTTAAGCCATTAACATAAAGTAGTACTTGGGGGGCCAGATCACGGTGAGTGTTATGGATGGGAGCCTCACAACCGTGCAATTCACTGAGGTCAGTAGATTACTGTGATAAAGCTGGGAGATAACTGGATTGTAGTCTGGAAGAAACTAATAGTTTGGGGGAGATATTTTTGTCATCGTAGTAGGAGGTAAAGGTATTTAAGAATGTCTTCCAGTGGAGTGGGTGGAAGCTGAAGGCCAGAAATGAGGTGTATTTTGAATACTGAATTTAGCAGCTGCTAACCATGAAGCAGGCTGCCAAGGAACACAGCGGTTTTCTTTTATCCTCTCTGAACTGTGACAGCATAGTTAAATGTTATCTAACTCATAAGCTGTGCACAGAGGTTACAGGGGTTGGTCTTGGACTTAAGCTCTGCTTGTTGGTTTAGGTCAATGTTATTGTTCTGTGGGAACTTCAGATCTACAAAAATTCATAAATTTGGAGATTAAGAGAGACTAGGGAAAAATGCAATCCAGGACAAGGGAAAGGGCATGTTGTGGGGAGAGGAAAGAATGTGATCTCATCAGAAAAGGATAGATAAAAACTAGAGTGAATGGGATAATTCCATTAGGGAGTGAAAAAAAAGTGATCCTTGTAGAGACTTGTGGCAACAGAATAAGTGCATTATCAGGAGAGCAGCTGACTACTGACGGTGGGGTGATGCCATCCTAAAATGAAAGTTCATGGTTGCAGTTAGCTCCAAGTCGGTAGTTGTAGAATAGATTTGGGTTTGTTCAGCATCTCCTTCAACAAAAAGGAGTTAAAAGCAGAAAGCCCATGTTCCTGACCCATAGCTGCTCTATAAATTTAAACTTGCAAGAAGTTGGATGAATTTGTTGGTTTGCATCTTCCTGAACAGGATATAAAAAAAAATTAAAATGCCTTTAGTCATCATGAAATGATTTTCAGAGCAGGACGAGGGCATCTGGCATTCAGTGCCTCAGACTGCAAAACTCCATGGCATCTCCTGAGCTGATAATCAAGTATCCATTCCACTTCTCACTCACATGTGGAAGAAAGGCAAGAGCTAGGCTCAAAGAAATAAACAAAACCTGCTATTTGTTGGCTGCTGTGAAATTTATAGAGGGTCACTTTATCTACCACTCGACAGCTGTTTTCAACTCCTGTTAGCCAGAAAGAAATATTATATTGTGCTGCCAAAAGCTATCGATAGGACAAAAGTGATAGCCTAAAGAACTACAAAATTAGCTGTGTACCTCAGTAGTAGCTTACTATCTTAGTGAGACCCTTGCAAAGAAGATTTATGTTGCTAGCTTCTGTTCATATTACAATTTCCCCATATAGAAAACTTCATTTATAAGTACTACCTTCCTTTACAATCAGAATTTGTCATTTTATGAGAAAAGCAGCCCAAACTCTGTACTGTAGAACTGTGGCATTTCTTCAGCACACTGATGCATCGAGGGAGTAAATCAGGGAGCTGCTTAAAGGTCCACAGCTTCTGCAGACTATGGAAAATTCCATCCCAGTGTGACAAAATGAGAGGGAAATCAATATTTAATCTCCTGTAACATCCCTTCTAATAATGCTGTAGAACCCCCAAAGTTACAGGGAATTCAATTGCTTTGCAAAAAGTACTTGTTCTTCTTCTTGTGCTGCAGTGACAAAATGGGTCCTAAGTCCAACTACATTAGAAAGGCAGATCTACAGATCTGCTTGGGGAGAGTTTTTCTTCCCTCAGCCCCACTTTTCTCCCCCATTCTTACATTCTTCTTTTTGACAGGACTCTCCGATACCGTTATTCCCCAAAAGCAACCTTCCTTAGCAGCTGCTTTAAAAAATTTCTGCATGTCAAGCTGCCTTCTTGCAGCTTGATGTAAAGAATATCAAAAATTCAGATCTTAATGCTCCTTTAAAGAGATAATACCAGCCATTGTGTTCAAAAATCTCATTAAGAACCAGCTTTTAAGTGGACAGTGTGAAAGTGCGATCTTGTGCCTTCAGCAGTGGGAAGGGATTATCAAGAGGGCAGAAGCTGGAATTCAACAATGGATCTCTATTAGTGGTATGAGAGGAGCTGCTGTGGACAACTCCCCTTTCTGCTCCCTGCTCTCAGCTGAACTCTTGTGCTGCCCCACACATAGAAGCCTCTATTCTTGTAGGCAACGGAATATTTTTTTTTCTAAAAAAAAGAAACTCTAAGAGCAAACCTGTGCCATCCTGCATAAAAAACATCTACTGCTCAGTTTAATTTAATACGCTGGTGTGTGAGCTTTGCACCCTACAGGTTTCCTAGAAATACAAGTGGATATAGAGAGACCCTGCACCCAGGACAGAGTCAAATTTTGTGGTACTACCATGAGAAGATTACTGGAGGATGACAAAGGGCCAGTGATCAAAATGGCATGGATGTAGAGGTCAGAGTACCAATTTGTCTGTTTGTCCCCAGAACTAAAATACACCTTAAATAACTAGATGTCGCATAAATTCTATCCCGGTAAAGATCTTCCATTGAGGCTTCGCCTGACAGACCACAGTTTAACCTTGAGAAGAGAATCATATTCTGCTACTGCTATGGCTTACTCCCAGCATCCACTGAGGCTGACTTTTCCTTCCTCACAGCTCCTACCTTTACCTACTTGGGCACCATTCACTGCTGAAAAGCCTCTCTTTCCTTTCTTCAAGAAAAAGGCATCCAGTAGTGTGTTTACAACAACATCCTGCAGCTGACCCCGCTGCTTCCTATCAGACACCACTGCCATAAACCAAGTAGGGCAACACCAGCTTCAGCCCGGCCACCTGGGGCTGAGCAGAGCCAGTCTCGCCTCTTCTGGTGTCCACTTGTTTGTTCCTTCTGTGCCTGAAAAGCCTGCTAGAGAAATCAACCCGCAAGGAGGAAAAAAACCCAAACCTGTGGCACCCTTGAGCCCTCAGACTAAGAGGCATGCAGAGCCTCTCAGCACAAATGATACTTACAGGTATGTCTGCTTGAACAAAAGGTTGGTGGGTTTTTCATTGACATGGTAGAGAGGAAATGGATCAAATCCCCCAATGAAATCAACTGAAAAAAAATCAAAACTCAAATAAACAAACAAACATGGCCAGAAAGTGGAAAGGAAAGGAAAGGTTGATGCATGTCATGGCATAACACAAAAATTAGTGAGAGAACAGAAAAATGATTTGGCAGGTATGGATTGCCTGGTGGAAATCTACCTGTACAGCCCTCTTTTCTGGGATCTCCTGGGGATGGCCAAGTGTGCCAAAAGGGAGATTCAGCTAACACCAGACTTAAAGCAAAGCTAACAAAAGACTCCAGAAAAAAAACCCAAAAGCCTCCCTGAGCCTCCTTGGGCATTGCCACCATGCTGGGACTTCGCAGGAGAACTGAGCCAACAAAGCACCGGCCCTTCAGCGATGTGACGAAGGCAGGAAGCCGGGGAACAGCTCGTGAGCGAGTGCCAGTGCAGAAGTTGGCAGCACAGCAATCCCCACCAAGGTCAGATAGTGAAGTGGGAATTTTTTCTTGCCCTCGGTTGTCTTTCCTGCAAGACAGACGACAGCAGCTTCGCAAAACTGCAAATGCCTCATTATCTTCAGCGCCGATATTTTTCACATCCCTTCTGCCAACTCAATTTCTTTTAATTGTATACAAATAGGAACAATGTTTCCCTTCTCCAGTACTTGCATAAGGGCAATGCAGCTGAACAAGGGAAGTTTTGAGTGACAGGTCCTGCAGTAACCATAGAAGAATTTTCCAAGTTCCTCTCAGTTCCCCTGAAATTAGGCCAAGTCTCTATCACTGAGCTGGCCAGCCCAGCCAGGTCAGGAGGGGTATGATGTGGTGTGATTTGTGACAGCCCTAGCACGCCTTGCAAAAAAAATCTTTAAAATACTTCCAGCTTAGACCGTTTCTTGGTGCCAAGTTAGTGCATTTTGTTTGGCAGTGTGAAAGCCATCCTGCCCAAATGCCATTAAAAAAAAATAAATTAACTGGAGAATCTTATTAACTATATAAATGCCTGCTTATTTTTCTTTCCTGAAGGTGGCACTATTATTTTAAATTTTAGCTAAAGAGTTTTGGTATTTTTCAGTGAATAAACAATAGAAAAATATTTACTGAATAGATTGGAAATGAAAAAAAACCAACAAACTCAAAGTTATTTAGAAACCCAAGGACACACATTCTCACAAATTCCATCTTGATGGATACCTTTAAGCTGATACTATGATTTTGCAACAATTCTCAATTATTGGGTGAAACCTTCTAATTTAATTGGGGAGGCAATTCCCAGTAGCTTGAGTGAGACCTGATCTTTTCTCAGTCACTTTTGAAAATCTTTGACTACTTTACAAACAAGACCAAGGTTTTAAAAAACCAGACACTATCTATATTACCTCCATTGTGGAATGTCTTCAGTTAGGAAACCTTAAAGAATTGCAGTTTTCAGTAATTGTCTAGCACCTTGGCCAAATAAAAGTTCTGTCACCAGAGCATCCGACCATGGAGGCACTCAAAACCCAAGTGGCTTAAAAAAACCCCCGTAACTGTGGCCCATTGTTGCAATATATTACAGTGCATTAGCACATCTAAAATATTCTTGCCCACAATTCAGCATTAGTAGATCCCTACTGCTGTGTTTTCTCATGAAAATCACGTTAGCATGAGCTTCCTGATTAATGTGCCTCAGCACTTATAATTACTTCATGCTGCATATCAAAGCAACATTTAAAGGAAACCACAAATGGAAGAGAAAATTAAAATGCAGCTCAAATTTATTCGGGTCACTGGAAGGATCTACCACTGTGAATGTGAAATATTGATGGCTTGTCATTGTTAATTATTCAAGCTGGCATTTTAACTCCAAGCTGGGAAACTGGGAGGGAAAAGGAGTTTGTTAGTGGGGAAAAAACCCCCAAAACTGTATCCTGAAATTCACAGCTCTGTGTTTCTAGATAACACTTCCTTCCATGTGGCTGCCTCTCCTAATAGATCCCTGCTGTAAAAATGACCTCTCTCAAGTTATTACTTTACCATATTCAAAAGGGGCTCAGCACTTAAGCTATGTAGCTAATAGAAGAGCTGTAGACTAATTTTTAAAATATAACTTATAATGTAGCACCTTCACTAAGCGCACAGCCAAGCTCTACACAGATGATCAGTAAAGCCCGTGGAATGAGTTCAGCCACACAGGAAGGAACAGCAAAACGTGAGGACAAGTGAGATAAGCTGTGCCTCTCATCTCGCTCCTGTGAAAACAACATTCTTCACATATTCTCAAATATGCAGTTCAAAGCTGTTGTTTTTCAGCTAACATCCATGCCAGCTGCTCTTCAAAACAACGAAGCTACTTGCACAAACCTGACAAATGTCTTAAAGAAGTGATACCTGGATATAAAGCCTCTGGATCAGAGCCTTACCTGAAACAAACTAGCCGAGACCCAACACATTGCCAAAAAAATCAGGCTTCATCATTTATCTGAACTCTATGCATCCGTTCTTTTTTGTAAAATTATTGGTCTCAAAGGGAACTTTAAAAGGGCAAAGTAAGCCAGGACCAGGTTATGGATATCTGCATAGGTCCCACAGCCCCAAGTGATTCCTCCGGGTCTCTTCTCCGACACATTATAGTGAATGCCTGATACTTAAAGAGATTTGTATACCAAGGGAGTCAGCTCCCTCCTCCTTGTAATTCAAATACAGTACTTCCTCTGCTTTTAAGTTAAGTGGTCAGGTTTGTCCTTGGCAAGAAACCTCGAGCTGTGCTTCATCCTCAGCTTGTGGCACATGATGCTCAGCAGGTGCTTGAGTGCCGGCAGTAGTCTGTGTTGGTGGTGTTTGTAATTACAATGCTAATATTTCAGTAGCATTAATCTTAAACTCTCTAAGCTTGAGAGCAGAAGTGCCCAGTTTCTTTAAAGCTTAGTCTGAGCGAGGAGCCAAACCCAAGCTTTTATTGTGCTGAAAGTGTAGCAGAATTACGGTATGTAACATGTAGTGACATTAGGAAAAAAAACCCGTCCCAGTAAAAATAGCTGATCCTATCACATAGATGGAGAGATGGAAAGAAGTCTGAGGGCAGCTCAGTCTTGATAGGCAAACATCTGAGAGAGAAATAAAATTGATAAAACCTTTGCCAAGGGATCTGTTGATAAATACTTACAGCTGTCTTCTTCTTCTGTAAAAACACTAACAACGTAACAGGCGTAGACAAAGCCCACCAACTGGAAAAGAGAGAGAATGAAGCACTTTAGCATTAATCTTATGAGGCTGGTCAAAACCCACTTGGCACAACTTCAGCAGCCGATATTTAGTCTCAGCTTGGCAGCATTATTGTCGTGGTGGAGACACGTCTCATTTGCTGTAAGGAAAGGTATGCGGGTGTAGGCTTAAAGAAGGACACTGCTGGGAGCATACTCAAAGCTCAAAAGTAAAAACTTGCAGGACCCACCCTCACCTTCAGAGTAGCAGCCTGCTGTTGCCAGAATGATGGGCAAGAACACAGGCTGGGTTTGCTGAGACTGAAACTACTGTGGGAAGTTTACTCCCTGCAAGAAGCGATGGGGATGCAGAAGAGTGCCTTATGTAACATTTTAAACTGGTGACTACGCACAGGAGAGACGTCCAGGGGTAGGTTTCCTTAACAAAGATCCAGGGTCAAGAACTCATCAGCTCTATATTCCCGACAGAAGGGCTATGCAAGGAGAGAAAAATTACTTGGGTGCAGGAGCCACTGACAAGATGCAAGTAGTTTTACACAGATGAGAGAGAAATTTAGTTAACTGTAAAAATGGTGATGGATGGGCAGCAATGTTTAAAGACACTAAAATATTTAGTAACAGGCTTGGAGATCAAAAATTCGTTGGAAATAATCCCAGACTTACTCTAGCTACTACAGTTTTTAAGGTTCTTTTGATCTTTGGAGGAATAAATACTTCTGCATTGACTAATCAAGCGTCAGGACCGCAAGGTAAATGGGCCAGAAGACAGTGAGAAGCAGACAAGATGACAGCAATGGTCTTAATTCACAAATTGCATAGGTTAGTAGTAAATTTCCACCTCCTAGGAACCAGACAGAAGTAGGAAAGGAGCAGTAAAACAACAGGGTGCCTCTCAGGTAACAGCCACCCTGGCACAGTGTGGCCCTCACGTCAGCTCACAGCTTGGAGCAGTCTTCATGGCAGAAAACTAGAGTGAACATGAAAAAAGCAATTTAAAGTCGTCTAGTGGGCCTGTCCTTAGTTGGTAGTTTGTAGAAGCTCTGTAGCATCAGAACTGTCTCAATGAGTTTCAGCAGCAAGTTGTTACTCAGCTTGAATAGAGAAACAAACTTCTGGCGCTACGGGAGTTAAGTATTCTAGCTCCAGCGGGGTTTTATTTTGCTTTGCCTTCTTCCTGTTAATCAAATATCCTCTCCATCCTTCATTTTGCATCTTTACATAACACCCCGCTTAGCGAGATCTTGGTTGACAGTAACTGTATTAGTAAAGTTATTGTGAGACATAATTGTTTTCCGCTGTGAACTCCATTCCTTCGAACAAGAGTTAGAATGTAACGCACAGTGACTCACTCGAAGGGAAGACAGAATGATGCATGGTAGGGCTTGAAAAGCAGAGTCCATTCATTTTTAATATGACAGAAAAATACATCACACCAGAAAACAAAAGGCAAGATAATGAGATTTCTACTGGCGAGTTATAAGGCATTTGTGATTTCTCCAGCTCTCTCTGACAAAACATGCTCTGTTGGAAGGAAATGGAATGTTTTTGTAGCATCACTAAACCTTGTATTTCCTTTACAATTTCCTATAATCATCTGAAAGACAAGCCAGCTCTTTCCTTTTCCTCTTGGGTGAGCCTCATAGAGACATGTCCCAGTACCTCAGTGGAGGAGAGGTAGCTCTATAGACTCGCTCATTCTCCCGCTGTGCGCTTTTGAAACCGAGGCCGCTTCATAAGAAGTTTCTATGAGCTACAGTGGACTTCATGCAGGGAAAAAACAAATAATAATAAAAAAATCCTTCCGATTGTGATGCTAACTGCGAGGCCCTATGCAACAGCCAGTCTGATTTTACCTGCTGACTTTCAGAATTGCCTCCAAGTAGAACCATTGTTCTTTAAAGGTAGACCAAAAAAATTCAAACTAAACAAAAAACCCAGAATAATCAGAGACTTCTAATACTTGTGCTATGCTAACATAAAACCTGTGGATTTTTTTATTTTACTTCTCTTCCCTTTCTGAAGGCTGGGGCAGGTTTGGTGCCCAGATGGGAGGGCTGCAGCCTCAGCCCAGGACCTGGACCTGGTGCTGCCACAGCCCCCTTAGCTGTGAAATCAGCAATTAGTGCTCATCAGCTGGGCTGCAGAGCTAACACATCAACCCTTAGAGATGCCCTTTGGAAAAACAGCTTAAAGCTGTCCCGGCGTTGGTGGAGAGGTCTAACCACCCTGCCTCCTTGCATCTGCCCTAGGAGCAACTTAGGAGTTGTACACGTTCTTTATAATTGCTCTCGCATTTTTATACTTTGAAGATCCAGCCTTTTACGTTTTACAGGATATAAGGTCAAATCATGCAATTTGCATATACATAAATATCGAAGTGGGAACGATGTATCTTGAATGAGTGCTCTGATTCCAAGGGAACTCGAGGAAGGTTTTGGTTTTCCCCGGATTTTCCATCATGCCTCAGAGTAAGAACGCAAGGCTTAGTAGCCACACAAAGTGGCAGCCCTAAATCCTTTCACTGGGATTATACTCTTTAACATGTACACAGAAACCTTATATCTGTGTGAGGCAACTCCTGATAGTATTAATAATGAAAATTACTTACCTGCCTAGTTTATGGGCAGAGTGCATGAATGATTATCAGTTATACTGTCACAGGGAACCTGTTAAACCTCTGAAAATTGCTCACGGTTCAGAAGCACCAAGCAAGCAGCAAGATTGACTTGTGAAGTTTGTTTTGCACAGAAGTTAATGCCTCATAACCCTCAAACATCATTCCTCTCATCCCATGTGTTTTTCCTTTTATGATTAAGGTGACCTTTTGCATTCAGAAGAGAAAACCCAAACCAACCAACAGCTAGTGAATTAAATGAACTTCCCAAAATCTCTAATTCCAGCCCCATTGGAGTGGAGAGTTTTCTTTTTTTGTCTTCTTCTATCTCCTGCCTTTGTTTAAAAATTACCTGCTTAGTGTTTAAAATTTTATTGGCTTTACAAACCATTCCTTCCTTACATGAGTTTCATCAGTAAAAAATGATTTATTTAATGGCAGTTTTTATTCAAAGAAGTTTTGATAGTCTTGTGACCTGGCCAGAACTGGAGAGTTTAACATCAAGGAGGGAAGAGACCTACAACATAAACATGAATTGCATTTTTGTATGGGCTGACCTAAACTACAATTAAACATATCACCTCAGGGATGAAATGAACCCCTGGGACTCCCCATGTCTCAGCCTGTGCATGAATTATGAATGAAATATAGCTACAGAGAAGAAATGCTGCTCCTATTGTCCGATTTTTGCTGGAAGAGTCTGCTAAAACATGGAATGCTCAGACTTCAAGAGACACGGACAGTTCCCTTCTGCCTGAGTCCTTGATGAAAATGCATCAAGCCCCCAAACATCAAGTTTAGTAGCAGCTAACACAGAACAGTAAGCTTCACAGCAGCTAAGAATCTGGAAGTAATTTCACTCTTACTCAAAGTGCCATTTTGGTTGCTGATTTCAATACGAAAGAGGGTTTTAAGCTCCACCACCCCAGGGAAATAGCAATAATTCTTAGATCTTTGCAAATTATTTACAGGGGGTGAAAGAGGAGGGGAAACGTCAGTGATGTAAAATGACACTAAGCTATTGCTCTAATTCCCCAAAGAATGTTCTTAGGCTTTAGCCTCTGCTGCTGTTTCTCTGCTTGTTCTGCATGTTCAGTACCAGCTTCCTCCAGGCTGCAGAAGTATCCGATTAAGCTTTTCATTAGGAACACATGTTGTAGGCAGGTATGTTCAGTCAGCCTGTCAGACAGCCTGGGAATGCACATGCTGCCCAACAAAAGAGGATGGAGCTGGGGTGTCCCAAGTATTCTGCAGGCAAACGAAAAGAGCAGGAAAGGCAGGAAGAGACAAGTGTGCGCAAAGGGAACGAGGAACGCCTGCACATCCCTCCGCCCCTCAGTCACCTGAAGTTAACTTTTTATAGCGAGTTGAGACATGTTCATAAACCAGCAGCATTCAGTTCAAGTGCTGGAGCCGAAAGGACTGAATTACAGCAGGATCCACAGAAAGGGACCAGCTGGCTGCCAGTCTACAAAATACAGGATGGATGCTTCTTTCAGGGCAGATATATTCTAGGTTTCAGTTCCAGTCAGAGCTACTGAAGTGTGTACACTCTCATCAGTGTGAGAGGGGGGAAATGAAGAGGTCTCTGCTACGAGAAAGCAAAAAGCCAGCGTGTGAGAGAGCTATTGTGAACAGATAGGCCAAAAGAGGCAATCAAAGTCCTTTGATTCCTAGACCTTCTTTACTCTTTGGATGCAATTACAGCCACTGAATGTCTGGCTTCTGCCAACAGCAAAGCAGCTCTTGCACATTGCTTCTCACGCAACATCTGCTGTCAAGGCTTGCATTGCCGCCTTCCTGGGAGCCTTCCAACCTGTCAGTCTGAGTGAAAACAGCAGACACGCAGGCAATGAGTTCTCTCGGTTGGGAAGACATTTTCAATTTCCATCCCACTCTATGGAGCCTCAGGAAAAGCCCAACCCTCCCCACTCCCAGAACTACCATACGGACAGCCCAGAGCTATGCCAGGTATTTCAGAACTAGAGATCACTCCTCTTCCAGCTGGCTGGCAAGTTGGGGAGATGCAAGATGAGGCCTTGCTAAGATGAAAACAAATCAGATTTCTTTTCTTGACAAACTAGTTGCTGTTGTATTTCCTAATTGTGTTGGTAGAATTTGTTTTACAGTGACATTGCTATACCAGTGTAGACTTTAAGATGCTGTTACAATAAACTTTTTTCTCCAATATGTTCTATGCTGAAAGAAGTTTTGTATGGGGCCCTACAGCTACTTGTATCATGCGTGGTGACTGATATGTCCAAGTTTGATCCCATTCCAAATTAAAGGAGTTGCTTTTGCCTTCAAGGAGTACAGACAAGCTCCAAGCAAAAGCAGACTGAGACCTTATGTGTCTTCAAATGTATGCCCAGGAGCAGGATAATATAGTCAGCAGGAGTCAAGATGACAGCCAACACTGTGCTCACCATATGGGTTCAGGTTTGTTTTCTCTCTCCTCTGGCATGCAAGATTGAATTCAGTGAGTCTTACCCCCAGTACACAATATGGTACTCTGCAGTTCCTCAGTCGCCTCAAGGAATTGGTGTTTCCAGAAAACAACCAAAATGCCCACATCTAGGTACTGCATAGTTAAAGAACGTGGATTTCACATTACTATATCTGGAATTAAAAAAAAAAACAAAAAACAAAAAAACCAACCCTGCCATGCCACAACTTCTAAAAAACATTAGGCAAAGCAAAAAAACTACAGAAAGCACAATTTTGCCTGTCCCTTGTACCTCTTAACAGGGAACTGGCTATTTCAGTCTCAAACGTGTGGCAGACAAGGAGGGAACTAGGTCATGTCCCTCGCTGCATCCCCTGAGCCTGCAAGTTCCTCGTCATGTTTTTTTCAGTATCGATCTGGTCTCCCTGCCTGTCTGCAGCACAGTACCTGCCAGGCCCTCTGGGAAGGACAGCAGCCTGTAATAAAATCTGCCTTAAAATGAGATAAAGAGAACAGAAAAAGATACTGGCAGGGATCAAAGAGTTTGACCCTCAGAGACTAAAAAGGGAGAGACTGGCTGTCTATTTCAGGCAAGGTCTGAGTGAGAAAGTGAAGCAGCTTGCTTTCTGCCTTACCTCAGCAAAGCAGAGATGAAAAGCTCTATTTGTCCCGCTACATCACAGAATTATGTGAGCATTTCAGAGCTGGCAGGAGTTACAAGCCTGAGGCTTCAATACTCTCCCTTTATTACAGGGCAAGTAGAAATTTACTTCATTCTGCATTGTTCAGCTCGTTCAGTTTTCTTGCATACAAGTATTTCAGCCTTATTTCCAGAGTTTAGGATTCCAAAATCCGCTGCAACTTAAATCTTGGGAAGACAGAGAAAAAAAGTATTTACTTAAATCCTGTTTTATTATATAGTTCCCTCCTCTGTCTCCCCATGTGGCCCTTTGTGGTGTTTTGCAGATGCACAGAGAATATTGTCATACGCCTTTGGGAAGAAGCAGATGAGAAAACACTCCCCGAGACACAGACTCCTGCCCATCAGTGCAATCACTTAGCTCAGGGCCATGTGCCCAAGATAGCAAGCTGCTACAAACCAAAAGTCTATTCCAAACAAACTCAGGACCATTTGTTGGCTGAACCTCTAGCCTGGGGCAAAGGGGCTCATGCCAGCTACGGCTTTAGGAAGGATGCTAACAGTGACATGCTTCTGCATTTTAAAAGTCTGGGATGTTCTGACTTCAAAGTCTGTCAATTGTTTCACCAAAGTTGGGAACAGCACCAGCTCAGCTGCATCAATCCCATTCCAGCTACCAACGCTTCATAAAAGACAACAGGCTCTATTCTTCTGGACGCGTAGGTTTGCTTCTCTCATCCACGTGTATTGAAGCGACTCCCAGATACTTTCATGCAGATCATTTTCCCTGAAGAAGAACTAACCAAATATTAACAGCCAGCACACGCGCCAGGGAGCGCATCCAAGTGTGGAAACAGGAGCTTCGCTGTCTCTTTTTTTTGTGTGACATGGCAAGAAAGGGGTCTGAGTCTTCCCCCCCTCCCTGCAGTTCACTAGGTCACACAGATCATCCCAGCTAATAGGAAATGCAGGATGAAGATGGTGGAAAGTTGTACCAAAAAATGTGCAGAGAAGTACTTGGCACTCCAGAAATTTGGAATTTCTCTATTTATTATCCTTTAGCATTTAATCAGGACGAGTTACCCTTCTTTAAGCCAAAAATAAAAGCTGAAATGTGAACGTTTCACCAGTCCACATTTGTTGGTACTTAAAGCCATTAACCACAAGTAACAAACCAAAGCAGATTAGAAAGATGCGGGCTGCTAACTCTAATGCAGCTACAAAATGCAAGAGAACCAACAAAGTAAGAGGGACAATGAGCATTTTGTTTCAGTTAATTTCACAGACAAGTGAGAAACAATTAATTAACAGTGAACATTAAGGACAGTGAATTACTGCAGAGTACTTAAAAAGCCTGCAGAAGACTCTGATGAGGAAAGAGTTGATTAACTTAGTGAACATATCTTAGGTGTCAGCAGAAAGAGAACACACTGCTTTCTGCTTCCTTAAAGTTTCTTTCATTTTCTGGAGACAAGGATCTTCTTTTTTTTTTCACTTCTTCACAACAAATGTGCACATATGTGTTCCACCACCCATCACTAAGTCATGCAGAATAAGAGAAATCCTTCTTCAGAAGGGTCTCTGTCCTTGTCAAAACATAAATTTCCACACCCTGACAGGGAAACAGAATGATTTGTTACTGTATGGTTGCATGCGACATGTTACTTCAGGTGTTAGGTTGCTGGTACCCATTTCCCATTCTTTCAAGCAATGTTGGTCATAAGAGGGAGCAGGAGAACCAACAAGCAATAAACCATTTACAGAGGCTTTTGCAAACACATCATGCAAAGTCAGGTGGAAAAATGGGCCAGCTGCTAGGCCTGGAAACTACAACAAAAATAATACAAAAAAACCCCCAAATGGCACCTGCTAAACAATTGCTCCTTTCGGCGATGTACTCACCGCGATCAGGATCTGGAAGGAGCTGTGCATGACCTCGATGTACCGATACTCGAGGGCACAGCCTATCACAGAGATGTAGGAATGACTGTCCAGCCCTTTGATGCCAGACATTGAAGCCTCCTTCCTTACACAGCCAGGACCATTTTCACTCCACCACGACTGGTGCCGGGAGATGTTGAACGTCAGGAGTTCGCTGTCCTAAAGAGAAAAGTTGCCAAGAGATCTCAGTTTACTAAAAAAGTGTTGGACATGCTCTCAGATGGAGGTCATATTAAAATCAATGGAAAACCTAAAGTTTCTAAGATCTCCACCCTCAAGAAATGACAGCACAGATCAAAATGCATCGGTTTTATGTTCCTTATAAGTATTTCACAGGCAGACTTGTGTGGTGGGAACCATTTCTGAGGCAGCCCTGCAGCACTCTAGCAAAGCTATTTTACCCTCACGTAGCTCACTTCAGACACGGGACTGAGCAGCTTCTAAAATAGAAAGACAGTTTCTAGGCTGCAGATTACAGGATGGAAAGAACCCTCAAGTTTTGGGGTTTGCAAATTAACCTTGCAAATCTAGAAGGAAAAGATAAACGAGGCAGCACTAAGCATCCGGTTAGAATCACAACTTAGGGGTATGCTCTTCCCAGCATGGGAATCAACACAGAGAACTGAGAAATATGAACTTCATAACCCTAAAGTGAGTTTCAAAACCCAACAGATCTTCCTGTGTTCCTAGCTTTTAACACATCTAACACGTTCCCTTCCCATTTCTGTCTGATTTCCCTCTGCACTCTTCACATATGGTGCTTCTATGTCTCCTCTTGACCCCACACACTGTCAGCCCCAGGTCAGGTCACCCAGCTCAGCTGACCTCGCAGTGACAATTGCAGCTTCTTGCAACTCCCCAGCAATTCCTTATTATCTCTACCCTGAGAGGGGCTCTTTGTTTTGCTCTTCTCGTCTTTGCTATTGCAATAATTTAAACCATGCCATCATGGGGGTTGTTCAGTGAAATGCCACGCAAGGAGTGCAGGAGTTTGGGTGCAACCACGTGTTTATTTTTGTCATTTAAAAATGACAACACTTTCCCCACACTTGAGGAGAGAGTAGTACTCACTGGAGTGCCCCAAAGAGCTTTGGGATTTTGAACTTACAGGACATGGCAAAGCCCTCTCTGCAGACAGTAAAGAACAAACTCATAATGGGCTGAATAGATCAGCTGCATCACTTCACCAATGGGTGCTAAGTGCTGCGTGCTCCAGCAGCCCTCTCGGGTCACTCTGGCGGGGAATCAACAACCCCTTTTGGCCACAAAATGGAGAAAGGGGTTGGGAATTTTATTCCGAAGGACAGGTTATAAAATGGATCAGTCAGAGAATCTACATGTCTCTACAGGGTGAAAATAGGTACTGGATATACACACCCCACGGAACCATTACTTCACACTGCTCATGGCAGGGTCTTACACAGTCCGTGTAGGAAAGCAGCTCCCAGAACAGCAGCAGTCAGAGCTTGGGGTGTTCCCACTCCCTTACATGGGAAACCTCACGTGGCAGCTCCTTTGCCTCAGCTCCCCATAGAGTCAAGAGAGAACAACAGTTTCAAAGTAGCTAATCCAGGCTCCTGCTCTGAATTACCCTCAGGAGAGAAGACGTGGCTCCACTGCCAACACAGGGAGCCTAGCCAGGTGGTCCTGCAGATACACTTTTCTGCATCCCTGTACATACCCAGGAGAAAACTTGAGCCACAAAGGGCAGAAGATTTGAATGCCAGCCGGATAACCTGTGAAGGAAAGCCAACAACCTCGCTATGCGCGTTGCGTAGGTACCCTCCACTCCACCGCAGAGACTCAAGAACAGTTTGCAGAGCTGTTATTAAAATATGCTGCAGGAAGCACACATTAAGAAATGTGGACAATTAAGTGAGAAGACAGCTGCCAAACTCCTGACATAATCACCACAACAGATGGGATGTGTTTTATAGTAGATGAAGAAGGGCACAGAGATGAAGTATGGCACCAATGCAAAAAGCAGCCTGAATAGCGAAGACAACAGGGAAAACTCTGTTAGCAGTTGGGAATTTAAAGGGAGCTGTCTGCACTGTAAAGGCTATGGGCAATAATTATTAGATTGGCAGCTATGGAATAACGCACACAGTACAAGGTGCGGTGACATCTACTTCTCTAGAGATACTTTTCCAGCTTCTCCCAATTTTGACAGAAGAGCCTTTGGCTTGCTCCCTCTGCTGGGCATTGCCCTTCAGCGGCCCAGAGATCTCTCACGTATCCACCAAATCGCATCTTTTGTGCAAAGCTTGTTCTTTCTCTCCCAAGTTTGCAGGTTCTGAGCCACATGGATCTTCCCCAGCAAAAGCTTTTCCTCCTGGAGACAGCCAGCCCCCCCCAAGCTGCTGTGCTCTTCTTACCCTCACAAGTCACTTTGGTTAGGGAAGGAAAGAATCATCATTTCAGAAAAAGGACCCAATTCCCGTTTCTTTGCCTGGGGCTTACCCCAATTAGCACAGGAACAAAGCTGTTCCACAGGGCACCACAGGGTCTACTCTCAGCCTCAGTCCCCAGGGCTTCCCTCTCCCAGCTCACAGATGGTGCCTTCCTAAACCTTCTGCCTCACTGATGCAAAGAGCCCCTTCAGCATCTTTCTACTCCCTACAGAGGCATCTCCGTGTATTTGGCAAAGTAATGAACCAGACTGCTTTCCTGCTTGAATCTCCCTTTTGTCAGTCCTTATAGAATTGGCTCTGGCTTAACTTTGCTGCAGAAGCTGAACTGGCTTGAGAATTATGCCCAAAAAAGCAGAAGAGGTTCTGGGCTGGTGGTGGGCGAAGGAGGAACAGTAGGTCCTAACCAGCACTCACTGCCTTTTTGCCTAAAATCATGCTTCAGCTCCATGCAAAACAAAAAATTACACTCCCAGCTAGGAACAGATTGGAAAAACTGAGCACATTTGGATTCTAGAAGCACCACGACGACTCGCACACATGAGCCATCCATCTCAGATGTAAAATGAATACTGATTGCACACTGGCATTGCGGATGCCCTCACGTTCACAGAGACACCTTTCTGAAGAAGCATCTGTCTGGAGCACTGCAGGGCACGGGGGCAGCACGAATGAAAGGGTCTCGACATGCAAAGCGATGCTGTTCCTCTGCTGGAGTCCCTGGCTGGATGCCCTCCGAGGCACCTGTGCTGATGGGGCACAATAAAAAGCATTCAGGAAAGTCACTTAGTTGACCTCCTTTGGCTCAGCGCTTGCTGGGAGACCGAGAAAACAATCCCAGGATGCCTCCTGTGGTTTGCCGGCTTCATTTGCAAGGAGATGGTTGAAGAGAAGTGAAACGACAGAACAGGAACAGCACGCTAAAAATCAGGAGAAAAGAACCAGGTGCAAGAAAGTTTAGGGAACAACTGTTTCCCCAAACCTTTCTGCAAGGCATTTGAAGTCTAAACACACTGAAATATTCCCGAAGGCAGTGTGCAGGTTGGAAGACATTAATCAGTCTCAGAAGTGAGCAAGCCCTGCTGCAGGGAGAGAGCGAGCTGCGTGTAACTGCACTCCCCTTTGCTTCTTGACAGGCTGCTATTCGAAGGGCTATCACTTCCTCTTTAACCTTCAGCCTGAAGAGAAATATGAGTGGAGAGCAATACAAGCTCCTCCTCAGGAGCATGTTGAAGGCCAGCCAAAAAAAATAAATAAAAAAAATCACATATCACTCTGAATTGTTGTAGCACCTGGTTGCCATCCACTTGCCACCAGCGTGAGAAGGGACACAACAGCACTAAAGCCGTAGTACCTACACTTTACAGAGTCTGTTTTCCGCTCCCAGTCTCCCCCCGCTGTGTCCCACAGGGGAGCTCACACCTACCTCTGACACCCACAGAACCAGCTGTGTTCCTTGTCTAAAATAGCTTTCTGAAATTATTTATTAAGGGACACTATCAGAGATGGTTTTATTTCTTGTCATTAACAGCCTTCTCAACTGCCTCCCCCAAAATTTCCTGAATTATCAGGCAAGCCAGCACTACAATGACTCTGAAAGCCAATTGAAACCTGTATGGGAACTTCCAGAGCCTGACAGCAGAATCATTTTAATTCTTTTCGGTTGGATACATTTCTTGTCAAAATAGGAAATATAATGTTTATCTTTTAGTCATGTGTGCTCAATAGCTGTGTCACTCTGTGACAACAGAGAAGCGTTTTCATCGTCTCTCAGCAGGCTCGTCGACAATGCCACAGCACCTAAAGGCCACATCCCAGTTTCTAAATTTAGATGGAGTTGAGTTACGTGCATTTACCCATCCTCCTTACAGTATTTTCTTCAGGTACAATGTCACCCCAAGATGCTGACCAGATTCTCTGGAACACAAATAACCTCCCACTTGACTAATAAGGGCTGCTCCCATTTCAAGAGGAGATCTGGACCACCACCACAGCTTGGGATTCAGAACAAAGCACTAGGGTAGACAAGAGAGAATATAAAGGAATGTAAAAAAAATAATATAATAAAAAAAAAATCACCATTCCAAGATGAGTAATTCCAGAGAGAAAAGACGAAGAAATACGTTGAAATGCGCAACGCCAATTCCTCAAAGTTCTCTGAACATTTCTCAGGGACGTGATGAAGAGTCAATCAGCATGGCAACTGGACAGACAAATGCTCACATGTCTTAACAGCAGGATTTTAACAATAAACTCAGACCGGAGGTTGTAGGAGGGTCTGTGTTTCATACTCGAGTAGTCAGGGAGAAGCTTAATGTATTACTTCAAGCACAGCCTAGAAACTTCAGAGACAGCTCCCAACAATTCACCTAACTAAATGGCCAGATGGACAAAGAGAAAAGAGGGAAATGGAACAGGAACAGACAAGAGGAGGAGAAAGAGCAATCTGGAAATAAATCTGTGAGCCTGCTCCCACAGAGCATCCGTACAGCACTTGCAGAGAGGCTGCATTTCCCCCAGATGCTGCAAGCGTGCTCAGAAGGAGCAGAGCAAGTCAGCAAGGCGATGCTGCCAAAAGCTGCTTGGAGGCACATCACCAACTCTGTGCCAGCAGTGAAAAGAGACCCTTCCAAACCAGATTGCAGTATCTCTTGCCTGCTCATTGGAGAAACACTGAAAGGAAAGCTGGCATGGGCTACACGCTTAGGGAGGCCCTTGCAGCAAGGAGGGAAGAAGTGCTGATCCATTTGTGTCTGGCCACCTAATGACATTCTGCTCTGCCATATTTCACACTCTTATTCCTACTAAGAAAAGATTGCAAGATAAAAAATTGTCAGAAAGATAGAAATTGGGCCAATTTAGCTCTTCCCAAGAAGCAGAGAATAGATTAACAGAGCAGGGTAGCTACAACTAGTGGTTAGGAGGGAAATGGTCAGCAGGTAGTGATAGCTGCCCCCTAAGTGGGGCTGAGCAGAACAGCACCCAAAGCAAGCGGGGCTCAGGAACCAGTGCCTGAGCCCACTGCAGCCCTGTGCTGCCCAGCACGGCCCCGCTCTCACCCTGTAAAATCAGGTACTCCCTCACTGCTGTAAAATCAGATCTAAGCACCAGAGCACAAAGAATTATCTGTGATAAGCGCACATAACCCTTTCCTCAATTTTTTCAATTCTCTAGGTTTTTCCTAAACTTGTTACAATAGAAACACTTGGATCCTCTCCCCGCTTTCTCACCACACCTGAGTTATGTCACCTGTCTCAGTTGTACTGGGCTGTCATTACCAGACACAAAGTTAACAAACTCCATTCTTTCTATCTCACTGCCCTTTCTGCTTTTTGTCATTATAAATTGGCTGGCTGCTGACAGAGATCTCCCTGGCAGGCTGCCCTTATCAGGAATATAGAGGAGTAAGCACAGGGCTGGCAGGAGCGCTACTCTCCCACCCCCCCCAGCTCTCTCCCACAGGCTCACCACAGAAGAAACACCACCTAAAGACCTTCTTCAGAGCTATCAGCCCCTTAAAGGACTTGCACAGGAGTACAACTCCTTCCAAAACACTCCCCAGCATAATCATGCTCTGTCCAGTAGTTATGAGTTAGTATTTACCTGACCAGCTCCAGCGGCCTTGCTTCACCAAAGCTCCTCTTTTAATATTTGCAATCTACCTGCTTACTGGTGGGCTGGTTACAAGCTTTGACTTCTTATTAGGAACTAAAGCACAGCTTCATCCCAAGGCCCCCTGAGAGCACAGAGAGGTACCTGCTCCCCTGCAGCCCCCCTGCCACAAACCCCCTTCTGACACGCGCTCCAAGAGCCTGGCCAACACTTGCGCACCCCAGCCCAGGTGTCCTTCTCAGGTCTGATCCCAAGACAGACCAAGATCAATAAGACTCGGCAGACTTCAGCTGGATTTTGGATCAGGTTTCTAGAGATGCAGCAGGAGAGAGATGCTACTCCTGAGCCCAGCCTGCAAAGCACTGCTCTGTCCTACAGAGACGTTAATTCCTGTTTCAAGCATATTATTTTGCTCTTGCGTCAAGAGAGGTTTTGTTTTGCTCTTACAAAGACCCAAATAACTTCTGTTAAATGGGAGGAAGAAAGAAAGCAGCATCATGTTTTTTTCTCACAAGACAAGCTTCTAAAATGAAAGTAACTCATTAAGAACAGAGGCAAGACTGTAAAGTACTTTACCAGTAAACAGGCACAAATACTCTTGGTTTTGCCAGTTACCAAACTAACAGCATGAATTTCTCATTGCAGCTCTAGAGGGAGATCCATGGAGTCAATAACTTGCACTGCAGCCCAATTCTATTAAAAATAGCTCCCAGTCACAAGTGTCACCCTGTAGGCTAAATAAGGGTCTCTCTGTGCTGGCTTTGCTAAAACAAAGCACAGCACTGAGCAAGGTTATGAGATGAAGCTCATGTGGTGGAGAAAGTGGAGTTTGCTGTTTAAATTGCAGAGCAGCAAAGCAACATGTTGCAGGGCAGGTTGGGATTAGCAGACACAAATAATCATCTGGCTGGAAGCAAACGCTGGCTGGATGAGAACCTCCCAGAGCAGTTCATCAAGCCAGTATTTCCTCCATAGAGGGAAGCATTTAAATAGTTACATAAAATTCTTTTTCAGTTGGTCACAGCCAACATCAAGATCATCTCAGGCTGAGCTTTCAGACCATGAGTAATCACTGTTTTGGGCAAGAAGCGTCTCAAAGTTTCTGTGAATAATTGAGAGGGGAAACGAAGATTAATGGAGGAATTAGGAAGTTACTTTTTCTTATCTATAAACGATTTATGCTGTCACTCATGACTTGCTGTAGGCCTGATCAAAAAAGCCCTTAGCGCAGTTCCAATTATGACTGCAACTTAGATGTATGACCTGGGAATTTAGGCCAGATGTAGAGTGCTCCAAAATGAACCTGTGTCCTACAATCGCTCCAAGTGTGCTAAGCTACAGCAACGCTTAGTAATTCACTGCTTATAACCCAGGCTTATTTCGGGGCCTGCCTCCCATTTTTATTATTTCTGACTCAGACCTCCTTAAGCAGGCAGCAATACTCAGCTTATCTAGTCTTCAAAGGGTTTCATATGCTAACTCGCAACAGCCCTGGCCAATAGTCACGAATGACTACCACTGTATCTGAGGAGGATGAATTAAGACAAGGAAGCCACATCACCTCTGACCTGCATTTGGAGGAGATGCACCAGCCTCCCCAGCAGCCCTCTTGTCTGTTCTCAGTTCGGTGGAGAGAAGAGCCTCTCTAAAAGGTGCAACAGGAAATATTTTGCCCAGTGTGGCAACAGCCATGCCCCTCCCTCTACTGCTGAAGCGCACTGGGTCTTCAGGAGGACTGGGAGGCAAAACAACTCTCAAGAGCTGGTCAGGTACAGAGTCACAGTCAAGTCCTTGGTTCAAGTCAGCCCAGCCAGACGGAGTCCCTGCTGCAGCTCTTCCCTGGGACAGGCTGGCAGGGAGAGCACACTCACTGCTGCATGAGGACCGTTCTCTCCAAGTCACACACCTTCTTCCCAAGGTGTTATCAAATCACAAGAGGATCAGCTGTAAGCTAGCTAGCTCATAGCCTTTCCCAGCTACTTCTGCATCATGGCTGGGAATCAACCCTCAAACCCCATTTCCCCTCAGAATGGCTCTGCTGCCAGGCTTGCTCTCACCTTTAAGAGGCAAATACACTCTGCCCGCTATAGAGACAAGGTTTATTCCAGCCACCACCTGCACTGACCAGCAAAAGGATTCCAGAAATCCAGCTCCCCGTTTTTTACCCCACAACAAGCAGGACTCCTCCATCCCCTCTCTCCAGGCAAGAGGGCAGGACCTGCTCCCAAGCAGCCCCCTGCTACTCACCTTAACTACCCCCTCCCCTTCTTCACAACTAAGTCTTGTCCCCTTTGCTGCCCAGCCTGGGCACTTGTCCCTAAAGCTTCTACTCACCTTTGAGAGCCCTCCCACTTCCAAGTAAAAGCAGATGATGAAGATGTTCCAGGTGACCCAAATTGCAGTCCAGATGGCATACTAGAAGGAGAGGGAGGTGGAAAGAAGCAATAAACATTAGGAAGTCGCTGGAATTAGTTTATCTCTGTATCTGTGATGCAGCTGGGGGCCATTAAATGCCCTGAGTCAGCACTGCAATTGTTTTTCCCTGTTTCCCATACGCAGATGGTCCTTTGCCTGACTAGAAACACAGAGACAGAAGTTTGGAGTGAGTGTAAGAACTTCTGCCATGCCTTTGTCTGGCATCTAGCTCTCCTCCTCTGTTGTGCAGTGTCTCTGTGTTACTTTGGTACCAGTAATAATTATCTGAAATCTGCTGAGTTTGGAATAAGTACAGTGGAAGTGCAGCACACTGAACAACGTATCCCTAAGCACAGCACCTCCTGATAAAATTGTTTGCAACGCTTGTGCCTGGTTTCCCAAGGGCTTTACTCAGTTGCTCATCACGTGCCACATCCCACCAGAGCACAGGCTGCAAATGGCTCTGAACAAAAGCGATTTTACTTACCACCACTATGTAGCGAGGTCTATACTGAATAGTGCCAAACAGGCCGAGGATGACGATGATGATGTGGAGGAAGTTGGCTAGAATAGGGGCCCACTGGTATCCCAGGAAATCAAACACTTGCCTCTCTAATGCAGCAAGCTGGAAGGGAGAAGGAAAAGGAGAGTTACGGCTTCTGGACTCATGCTGTTTCTTCTCAAGGTTTTGACATGCTTCCCTGAGCAAGTCACTGCCACAGCTGAAGATGTTGCTCCGTTCCCAAAGCAATTTGCTGCCTGTGAACCAGGTCAGTGGGACAGAACACGTGTTTACGTGCCTCCCCCTTCCACTTGATACTCATCCCATCTCCTCCGATGGCTCAGCTAATGCAGACCAGTGAGCTCCAGTGCGCATGTGGGAGCACGTCCTCTGTTCTGTGCACTTTGCAATGGGGAGGTGGCCCTGGCCTGGGGCGGTGGGACAGAAACATCTGAAAGAGCTGCAGCAGGACTTTCAAGAGCTCATTTGTTAGAGTCTTCAGCATCACTCCATCATTCCTGACAGCTCTCATGTTTCTGTGCTCCAGCACACATCCATCAAAGTGAGAGAGAGGAGGAAACTCTCCTCCATCCTTAAGCCCACAGAAAATGCTGCCACCCAGCAAAGAAATTCTGCAAACACATCGGTTTTCCAGGAGGAAAGGCTGTGTTCCCCTCCTGCACTAATAACATGGTTCAAGGCTAGTTCTGTGTTCTAGAAATAAAACTCCATTATGGCTGAACTGCTGGGCCTGATTTTCAAATCATATTTCAAATCACATTTGCATAAAGATGTACTTTTCATCTGTAGCCATCATCAGCTGAAAGCGCACGATAAGCAGGCAATTGCACATGAGCCTCTGCATTCCCCAGAGCCTTTAAATACTGTGCCTATAGGAGAAACAGTGAGTGGAAGGGGCAAAACCATTCCTGCAGGTCTTTCCCCGGCTTTACACAGAGAGTTCTTCTGTTTTTTTTCTTCACTAACCCAGTCCAACCAACCTTTCCATGCTGACCAGTGACTTTGCTAGTGCTAAGGCACAACAGAAGATTTCCCCATCAGGATAAGGTTTTGAAGTGTGTTTAAGTATCATGGTAGTATGCTGAGATTGCATCGTGACTTTTCATATCTATTTGCATCTAAATAAGCCATTACAATTCACCATCGACAGTCAATATTAGTTTAACTACTAATTAGACATTAGCCATGGGTGATCCTAGTCCACTGTGTGTAATCAGCTATGTGACATCTTTTTCTGGCTTGGCTTTTAAATGGCAGCTGGGGACCAAACACTGGAGCTTCTGTAATGGCTTAAAGCATTTAAGGATGTGAGTGGTTGTGGGTCTCAATGAGGGAAGGCACATCTATTAAATGACCGTTATTCCTCCTTCTTCCTTGATCAGTGGGGAAATCACCTTCCCAGCTTTCTTGGGCTGGGAAGGTATTGCAATTCTCAACACTACCTGGAGAGTTCAAGAAAAATCTGTATTTCAAAGAAATCTATAGCAGCCCTGGTTAAGAGAGATCAGTTGGGGCCATGATAAGCAGCTTTCCCTCTCTGACATCTCTTTCCCCTGGCAAAAAGGGGCAGAGAGAGTGGGGAGGGAATGGAGGCAGTCTCCAAAGCTGCCTCTTCTGCAAAATAATTAGTCTTCCTTTTGAAGCAGCACACACGGCCCAGTTCTGATCCATTTAAACCTGGGAGACGTGCAGCATGGCCACGCATGGGGCTCCAGGGCTGGAACGAGGCAAGTGCTGCTCTCCCCTGAGCCCAGCAGATTTCCTGTATCTCATCAGAAACAGCAGTAATAGGTTAAACGCTTAATCTTTTCGGCGGAGATTAGCGCACATACCTTAACGATATTGGGGAAATTTTGAATTCTGACTGGCTGGCAATGGGTCACTTGACTGTGACCGCTTCATCCAATCAGGCATTTAATTGGCTTTGTGCGTTCCATTAACGCGGGAGTATGTGCCACAAGAGCGGCACCACGGTGCATCAATTCCCCGAGGGGACACAATGGGGGTGTGTTCCGCAGAGATAACGCCCTGCTCAGCTTCGCCTCTTGCCTTCAGGCCCTGAAAAGCGGGGTGAAGACAAATCCGTCCTTCCCCGTGCCTTCTGCCAGGAGTTTTCCCACTCCACAATCAGGACGTGCCTGTGTCTGGAAAAGTGTTTTCTCCTCACAAATAAACATTTGCTGTTAGAGCTGTGTCAAATGAGAAAAACCTGTCCTTCCACAGCTTTGTAATGTTTCCTGGCTTGTTTGACCAAAGAAGACATTGGTCTGTGAAGTGGGAGGTACCCACCCACCCTGGAGGTGGACTTGCCAATCTACACTGACTGCAGACAGGGGCACAGATCTTAAGAGTGGTCTCTGGTCTCTGGCCACACTGGATTTTTCCCCATGACCCCAGAAGTCAGCTTCATGTCATACTCCCTTCTTCCTTACTGCAATTGCCCTTTTCTCCAGGTTGTTTCTGCCCTGATTTATGGTCCTTTGCCACCTTCTCTGCGTGTTTTAATGGCTTTGTGTCCATAGGAGCTGCAGGTGTGACTCAAGCCCATGCAGAGATTGGCTCTGCCTGTCTGCGAAGGGTTCAGCTAAGGAGCTGGGTGGGTACACCTTCGTGTGACGTGCGAACTCTGGCAAGCTGCTTCCTCATTTGTAAAAACAAAAGCAATTTTCTGTAAGACGTGTGTCGATGACAAGTGAAAATGCTACTGATTAAACTCTGTATTACTGACTGCGTGGTAGCAAGCCTGGGCTGCTATCCAGCCGTCACAAATGCAGCCTGAAGTCACCGTGGGCTTGTCCCTGTTCCCCCAGGAACACAGCACAACAAAGGAAATATTGGCTAAAAACAAACAGATAAACAACCATTTTGCTCATTGCGTGGCAGGTCTGTGCAAAAAGGTTACCCACTAAGTGCTGCTGAGATTTGCAGGTGAACGGGGCTGATGTTTGTGCTAAGCTGGCCTTGATTTGGGGTTGAGATGGAGAAAACATCGTGGTACTCTTCAGTCCTGGTTCCCTCAGCCTGGCTCAGAAGTGGCAGGGCCAGGGTTTGCCCCTGCCCACGGGTGCTGATATATCTGCACCCTCGTACTGAACCTCTCTTGGATCCCTTTTTTTTGAGCCAGGGGAATGCCATCTTCCTCTGCTGCTGCCAAGTTTCTGCAGAGTAATATCCTTGCAGTAGCGTTCTTTATCATGATTCACACCACCCTATTGAGAAAGCCTATTATTTTCTAGAGATATTGGTTGTAAAGATAAATTTCACAGGTTGTGGCACAGGTTTAAACCCGTTCAAAGCTGACAGAACCTCTCCATCAGGGAGGACAAATTTTTCTTCTTTATGACTATTCTTGTTAAAAACAGGATACTTTCTGCTCCTTTTGCTTCTCTAGTCTCTACAACATTTTTACCTTTCATTCCTTAAATTAAATGATTTGTTGCAGTACTAAAATCAGAATAAGTTGTGGCAGACTTTTCTCTCCTGGAGTAAACGGCATTTCTGCTGAACTGAGTGAAACTGGAATAGCAAGTAACCTTGTGAAGCGACTGGTAGCCAGGCAAACAAAACAAGCCAAAGCTTTCTGTCGGGCCCCCATTCATTTGTACGCCTGGGAAAGATAAGAAAGGAGGAGAAGATGTTCTGCAGTTTACAGAGTCCTGTCGCACAGCTCACACACGGTGAGCAAAGAGAGGCTTTGCATGCCAGCACAACGGGACACGCTCAAGGTCTTTACATCATCAAAATTTCACCAGAGAGGGAAGCTGTACCTGAGCAGGAGGGGAACACTGCCTGATGGAGCACATTGCAGAATAGGACAGTGGTCTTAGAAAACACCTCTAAACATGGCATTGTTTTTTTGGGGGGGGTTCAAACCGTTCCAACCAAGTTTCCAACGGCTCTGGCAGGGCAGCGTCACTGGCAGATGTCGATGCCAGCAGGACACTCCGAGCTGATTCAACATGAGCTGAGGGGTGCCTCTCTACATTCTGGTCCCTCAAATGGTTTCTATCCCTTCATCTCTGTGTTCTCTTGCTCCTCTCATGCTGATAAGCTGGCGAGCTCAACCTGTTCCCCTTGTGCCTTCATGCTGCTCCAGGAGAAGGGATGCTGACGACCAAGTCAGTTGCCCGTAATTCTTTAACTCCCCACCCCTTATACCTGCTATCAAGGCCATGTTGTCAGCTAGATTTGCTCTTCTTAGTTTATTAAGCTTTTAAAGCCTTTAATCTTATTTGGTTAGGATCTGTGTCTTTCACTGCATTTCTGAAATCCATTGGGACACAAAACAACAAATAACATTTTCCAGATGTTGAGACAACTCATACAGATGCAGGGAAAATGCTCAGTGACAGGTACAGATACCCAAAGAGCTTGTCCTGCCTACACACACACACAGCCATAGGTATCTCCTCCTGCAGGCTAACCTGCTTTTACACTTCCCAAGTTCAGCTTTTATTAAGAAGAGGTTTATTTTTGCAATTAAATGCTAGAAATATATTTACAAGCATGCAATAAATGGAGCAAATGGGGAAGGCTGATCCTACTGCTGTGGGCCAGCCAGGACTTAAGGGAGATACTGCTGCAAAAAAAGAAGAGTGTTTTACCCAGAAACCTAGACTTTATCCCAGCTGGCACATCAAAAAGCAATGTGAAAACTCTTTTGCTACTCCTTGTTTTCCATCATTATGAGGACACAGCCTCACAGACTGCTTCGACTCCTGCTCTGCCCTTGTTCAGTGGCGTGTACAGCTGCCTTGGAGCCCGCGGTGCGTATCTCTGCAGGGAAAACTTGCAGCTTAAACCCCTGTCTGAACTTAAACCCCCCTAGTCTGAACTGGGGAGGAGCCTCAGCTGCCGCCCTCGGTCACCGCCGTGCTCCCGTTGATGCTCAGGGCTGCCTGGCTCATTCCCAGCGCGTTGATTCAGCGTTTGATTTCCTGCCAACTGGCTTTGCTTTTTAAGAAGATGCTCTTTGTTTGTCCACTGTGCAAACACCATCGGAGTGGCCAAGACTTTCACTGAAAAAGGTCACGGGTCTTTTCTTGAGGAAAAGCTTGCACTGATTTCCTGAGGTATTTTGGCCGTGCTGTGGTGGATGGCTT